ACACATGCATGTTTCTTAGGCATTTTCAAGAATTGGTGATATTGTCATGATTCCAATACAATGTATGTGTGAGTAAATGTAATGATTTTCTAATCTGATTTTTTTTTCCTTTTTCCTTATTTATAAAAGGAGGTCAGAATGGTTTTAACATTCCACAAGTTACTCCATGCCCAGAAGTTGCTGAATACCTGAAGATGTCTCTGGAAGAACTGCATTCACTGGATTCCAGGAAGATTCAAGGCTGTGCACGAAGACTGCTTTGTGATGCTTATATGTGCATGTATCAGAGTCCAACCATGAGTTTATACAAGTGAACAATGTTCTCTGGAAAAACCGAAGAAACAGTGCAGAGGTTTCTGCTGTTGTTATTTGCTGCACTCCTTGGTTAGTTGTATTTGCTGCACTCTTTGGTTAGTTATAATGCAGCCGTTGCTGGCAATGGATGCGATGACACGGAAGAAGTTGACTCTAAAAACAAAAGGGTTACTGTTCCAAAAACTACACATGGAGTTCTGTCATTGAAGTATTTAAGCATTTTGCACTCTAGGAAGTGTGCTTGTGTGTGTTTGTTTTATAAACAAAATCTAAATGGGGTTACTAAAATGTAAAGCTTTAAGTTAAGTGCATTGATTATATACAGACTTTTTTTTGAAAATTAGAGGTGGAATTGTGTCAGGAGAAACCTCCCTAGTCTTTTGAGAATGTAAAAATACTTTGTTCTCACTCAGTTTATTTCTTTGGACCAAGGATGATGGATTTCTTCTGGTCTCTTTCCACCCTCCACCTGTGCTCTGCCACCACTGTCCCCCTTCAGCCTTTTAGCACCATAGATAGCTGCCTTCAGGAGAGAATAACTTCTACTTTAGTAGAACACATTTCAAATGGTTCACTGCCTATTAGTTCTGTTAGCAATCTACTCCCACATTATTTTTCAGTTCATACATTCACATTAAAAAAAAGATGTCATCTTTGTAGATATCCATGTAAAGATATAACTTGCTTTTTGTGAAAATCAAGCACACAGATTTGGTATAAGTGTAGGATTTGGGGAAGGGAAAAAGAGGAGGAGGGTGTTGAGGGGAAGCATAACTGCTGAAATACAGAGATGGAGGTTAACAGATGTCTTTTTCTAGTTGTCTATTTTTAAAGAAACAAAGACTGGAACAGAACAGCAAATAGATATAAATGATTGGAGGACAAAACAACAAAATATAGATTGCCTCAGGGAATGCTACTGATGTGGACTCTAGTCCTTAGTAAAACCGAGCTTTTCTTTTTTATATATATATATATGTATGTTAAGCTACTACCAGAAAAAAATAGACAAATATTATATATTCCTCTTATTTTTGGATTTACTATGAATATTCAAAACTTTGCCTGGAAAGATGAAGCCAGAAACAAGATTAGTTTTACTGGTTACCAAATAGCTAAGGAAAACTAACTGGGAAAAATACAAAAAAAAGGTATCAATGTAAATTGCTATATTTGGAAGTCTGTTGGTTCCAGTTTGCAATGAAATGTTGTTTTAATAGCTTTTTACTTACTGTCTACTACACTGATTAGTGCCCCACACACACACACACACGTGCGTGCACACACACGTATATATATGTGTCCATAGACAAAAGTTATAAAAGTTGTACAAAAGTTATAAATTACATATATATGACCTGTACCTTTTCAATGCTAAGATGTTTTGTATTGAATACTTTTTCTTTAGGATCAAGTCTGTAGAAGGAAAGGTCATAATATGTAACAGGAAAACCCACTTTGCTCTGCTGTTTAAAGACAATGGAGACTGATCCAGCATTGTGGAAAATGTGGTTACTTTGTGGTTCTTGAAAAACCTTAAATATTTATTGGGAGATGTACTTTACCACAGGGCAGCATAGAACAAGATTTGAAAATTACCCTTGACGGACTAAACCTGTCAGCTCAAAGACAGCAAAGCTGCACGGCGGGAGCTAGTCTCTTCCAATGGCTGCTGGATGAAATGTGCTCTTAATTTTTCACTCTGAAGAGCAAGGAAGGTTTTTTGAAGTAAGTATCTCTATTGCTTTGCCCCTAATAGACTCCTGGCTTCCATGGTCACTTGCCTCATTTATAAAGTATGTGCTCCTCAGTAAAACTTCCCAAGCTTTAGTTTCACTACCACATAGAGCTCTTGACTGCCCTCTTGAAAAATTCCAGGAAGGCTGTAGGTGATGGATTCTGTAATGTCAGTGGAAGGAGTTACTGTGCTTTGGCTCCTGCTTGGCTCTGTCATCCTGCTTGGGAGCAGCTCTTGGTGCTTACAGAGATGCCATGGCAGCATCTCCAGGGCAAAATTAACCAGAAAAGACTAATCTATAAAGAGTGTTTTGGCTAGGCCAGCTTGTATTCACTCCAGTGGTCTAGAGAACATGTATGTAACCCAAACCCATGGTGGTAAGCTGTCCCCTTGTCTGAGGAGGAACACTGGCCATAGCTCTGGTTATCGTAAGTAAACTTTTAAACTTTTAAGCAAACAAGCAAAAGGAGCCTTGTCAAAAAAAAGAGAGGGGTGAGAATAGTTCAAAATAAATACATTTCTAACTCATTACCTACAATATTACCTTGTTCAAAACCTTCATCTCTCTAGCCCCATCATGCCTCAGCTCTATGGTAGCTGAGTGTCCCCTCACGAACAAGAAGCAGGCATAAAAACTTTAGAAAATGAACAAGCACTGTGTAAAAACAAGACCAACTCTGAATATATGAACTTTTTTCTTTCCCTCTAGATTCCCTTGCATTCATTGTCACATGGGCTGTTCTCAAGTTTTGTACCCTCTTCCCCCAGAGTTTCACAGATCACCTTAAGTTATAGGTACTTTTACCTTCTCCTTGCCTGGTCTCAGTGCAGAGACAGTCTTTGAGCTGCTGTGACCAGAGGGTGAGAATTGGGCTTGGCAACCATTTCGAAGTTTTCTAGATGAATGATTTTGTAGTAAAATATTAAATCCTCTTTTTCACAACTGCTGACCCACCTGAGGACCCCATTTTTTTGGGCTGCATATTCTACAATGAATTATAGAATTATTTATGAATTATAAAATGAATTATAATGCATAGGTGTAAACAATCTGCTTGGCTCCTTGCATCGAAGCTTTTGGCCTTTGATTAAAAGGGAAAAGAAGATATTTGAACTTGTGCTGTGGTATACAAGGAGATCTTGCAGAAAAACTGACAGAGTTTAAATGTATTATTGCGCACACTTTTTGGTGACTAATACTGTATTTTGAAATGCAGGCAGTAAAATACCTGAATTTTGTACTACTTTATATTATTGCAAAACAGTATGTAGTTTTGCAAGCAGTATGTGGCTATATGATTATTTATTGTAGGCAGAGATGTCTTTTATAGGGTTTAAAAAAAAAAAGGTTGGTTTTGACAAGTGAGTCTTTTTTTTTCCTTTTAATCCAAAAAGCTTCATTTTTTTTTAATGGTGTGCTTCTACATCAGAGTAGAGATTGGCAGTGTATGCAAAGTGCTTTGAAAACTAATTCTGGTTTCTTATCATATAATGTTTATACAGTCAGAAAAACTTTCACTGTGACAGGAAACTTGTAAAACATTATATAAAAAAGTAATAAAAACCTTTAGAATTTGGAATATATTATAGGGGAATTGAAGAAGCTATTTTGGAAAAACAGCCTGTATTTTAAAGCATCCACTGCTTGTAAATGTAATGTCCAAAGATTCCAGTGACTAAGCCCCTAACTTCTAATTTTAGTGCAGTTGGGAACCTTCCTCCTCTGTTCTTAGCTATTTTTTTAATGGTAGATATGCTCTAAATGCTATTAATTTATGACTATTACTTTATTGGTTAGCGCTTACACCTTGCTAGCAATGGCCTTAAACTATGAGTAGGGAAACAATGAAAATACAGTTCCTGACGGCCTGCAAAATGTTGAAGTACCTTTATATAGTACGGGAGCAAAACTGCATCCCTGTGCTTGATTCTTCACCTGCTCCAGCAGCAGGAGAAAATGGAAGGTCAAACTGCAAAACAACAACTTGCTGCTGCTTTTGAACCGAGGGGAGAGAAGGTGTCTGCTAAGAGCTGCCCTGCACACGTGTGCGCTGCGTAGGCTCCATCACTGCCGCCATCCCCGGGGGTGAGGAACAAGACCTGTGCGCAGGTCTAAGGTTCCTAAGGTCTTTCTAACATCCCTGTGACACTGATTCTGTGCGCTTGAAAACATATTACTGTGTTTTACTAAAATAGACTTGAGAGATTTCCAGTTTAAGCAAGTACTGTCTGTAATGGGAATTATTCATAATCTTAAGTGTTTGGTTCATTTCAATGCACTTATTTTTCTTGTGCACTTTATACTCTGCTGAGTAGATGAACTTGGTAACCATGTCCCTAATGATAGCCTGGCTAATATGATGTTAAGGCACAACATGCTCCAAATAAGAATTTTGTCTTGAGACCTGAATTGCTGTAAAAGGCAGCCTTGAAGGATGAGTGTATTTTTACCCTTGTAACAAAGCATGTGTTGCTGTGCTCTTGAGATTTTGCTAAATAAACATCCCATGTTTTGTGCAGTAGTTTCTTAAATGTACAGCTGCTGTCGCCAAGAATTGGTTAGGGAAGCACTTGTATCAGGTTGCCCTGGACTGGCCTTAATTTTTTTTTTCTTTTCAATAATGTTAGAGAAATGAGCTGCTGCTGGAAAGGCATGTAATGATGTGCTCGCTATTAATACGAATTAAAATCATCATTCTTATGGATCTCTCTTTCTTTGGGGCTCAGGTTTTGGTGTGTTTCAGAAGTAATGAGGAATACAGTGCTGAACTATCTAGTCTGCTGTAGTTATACAATATAATAAAGTAAAAAATATCAAATAGGATAGTTATTTTAACCATGCGAATTGGTGCAGGACAAGGGCTCTGCTGTGAGAGCACTGAGGGTCCTGCCGAGGCCGTTCTTGCCTCCTGCAGTCACAAGAGGGCACTGCTTGTAGTGGCTGAAACCTCTGTGCCTCAAGCTAAACCCTTGTCCATAGAAAAGGAGCTTCATATACTCGTGTGGACCTAGGCAGAGGGCATGAGCTTATTTTCATATATGAAATTTAACTCAAAAGGAGCTTTATCTACCCCATGGTCCTCACCAGGTTATCATTTTCATACCTGCACCCTCTAGTGCAGCGGTTTAGAATGGAAATGTGAGTGTTTTAGCTGTTCCTCAGAACTGCGGTGCTGCGGGAGCAGCTGGGGCCTGCGCGGGGCGTCAGCCCAGGGGCTGCTCCCCTCCTCCGTGTGCACCCCTGAGCTCTGCCGGCCCCCTCGGGCACTTCCTGCAACCCCCCCGGCACCCTGCAGGGAAGCTCTGCCCCACGGAAATAAAGTTTGAATGGTTAA